TAAATTTTTTTTTATTTAAAACAGCTTAATTTTTGCCTTTCAACGCTTACTAAAACAACTCTTAATTGATAAAAAGCAAACTGACTTTCTGGAACTCTTGAAGTAGTTTTATAGAATTTTATTGGGAAATTATGGAGTAAAAATGCAACCAACAAAACTTTTATTTAAAAAAAAAAACACACAACACAATTGTGAGGTAAAATTAGGTGTTTTTATAATAAGCCATATTGAGACATGTAGCTTAATTTGAAGTTTAAACTGTATCATTTTGGAAAGGCTAACGGCAAAATGGGGGGGACTTTCACTCCAATTCTTTGAAGCTGATTGGGTAAATCTCCAAGTGGCCACCCATGTTAAGTATTTAACCAATCACAGCAACAGTAGCAGCTGTGATGTATCACATTCTTGATTAGTTTCACAACTAGCGAAGTTAACTGATAAATCAAATCTTACCAAATCTGATTGGGAGGGACATGTGAATATCTTTCTCATCCGCAAATGGAAAAAAGACATTCTTTTGCTTCTTTTTCAAAAAAGAAATAGAGATATTCCAGCTAAAACAGACTGAAGAGCAGAGTCTACAAGGTACATCCATTGGGGCGGCCATGTTTGTTTTTCTTCTGCTTAACGTCATAGACATCACTGCATTTTAATGTTCGAAGCATTTCTGTTTTCAAGGCTAATGGATCTATTGGATTCTGGTAAGATGTATTTTCAGGATCTCGAGGCAATTCATTTTGCTTGCAAAGCAAGTATTTGGTCAATGAATATAGAAAACCTTAAAATATAGTTGAGTTATAAATCACTGTCCCGAGCTTTGAACGTCTGACAGAACACTGTTTAATTTACCATACAAAAACAGAAAGGGCAAAAAACGGCAAAATCTACCAAGACATGACTGTCAACCTACACTAACAGCCTGGGCATGGAAGGCATGTATCAGAGGAGAAAAAGACAGCCATGGTAACTCTAAAAGAGCAACAGAAATCCATATTTCAGTAGGAAAATCTATTTATATGACTTTAAGACTCCAAATATATTGTTTTATGGCAGAAAAGCAAGAAGATATCAGTAGTTCCAAGACAGGCTCATTCGCCATGTAGAGGCAGAACACTTCTGTCTTCTTGAACCTTAGTCAGCCTCGACTACATCACCCATTCAACTTTGACCCTAACAGATTCATTACATCAGAAAATGCTGATTTTCACTAGTTTTCAGAGAAGTTTCCTCAACTGTACTGTTACATCCACATTAAAGATGCAAAGAAGATTCAAATTCAGAAACAGGTGAAAGGACTGTATGGGCTACATGGGTTCAGGGATAAATTTGGATATTACTCTGAAATGATTTGTTCTTTGTCGTCCCCAATTGAAAACAAGCAAGCAATCCTTTATGTTATTTTTATTTTCCGAAGAATAGTGATATTCTCTATGATGTTTCCAGATTCTTGCTTGAACCTCCTATCACTCATTGTAGAATAATCAGCCATTATGGATATTAAAAACACCCATCAATATTTAATCTACCTGGATCCCTTTCTTGCAGAAGAACATAAACATCTTAACTCTAATGTTTAAAACATTCAAGTAATTTAAGATTAAAAACCCCAGGTACAGTTTAACACTGTAAAATATTTCTAGGAGAGCCATTTGGTAATAATAGATGTCTTCCCAAGCTTTCTATTTTTGCATAATATCCACTAAAACAACTCACAACATTTAAGTGACCAAGAAAATGGTTACATTATACTATTTACTGACAAACTGTCAACCTTTGGCCAATTTTGAATTTAATCAAATAAATCAGAATAATCCATCCATTTAAAATGTATTATTTGCTTTACAGTCCATCATGTAACTGAAAACAATGCTTTATTATATTATCTATTGAATGCAGGAGCTTTTTATGTTTGAAAGACTTGTGAAGCAGAGTCTGCCTTAACAAACAATTGTTAAAGAATTTGGGGGTTCAGAGGAAAAACATCTGTCTCTTAGCAGTTTTGCACCATGCTATTTGCATATCTAAACATGTTTTTTTAGTGTTGTTTGGATTGCTCTTACATATTTCCCATCATCCTATGATTAATTGTAACCAGGAACACCAGACTATTTAAGAAAAAAAAAAAAAAAAAAAGGAAGTAAAACATTTTTCCAAAGTCTGCTCTTTTAGAATTCTATGGAAAATGTGAGATGCTATTGAGCAATTACAGCAAACATCTCTGAGGAAGACAGAACCAGGCATCTGATCCCAGACCCCAAAATTCTTTCCTTTGTCTAGACAACATGAGTAAACTGTCCCATTGAACCTTATGATTTCCTGATAACATGGAGAACTTTGGCGAGCCAAATCTCTGTGCTGCTTCTGAGACATTCCTTTTAAAAGTCAACTAAGCATTTCTAATATTGACTCATATAATCATCTACTTATGTTTCGTTATTGTAAATAGTAATTAACATGAAGCTTAAAATGTGCGCTAAGTGGATGCTAAACTTATAAGAGTAATTATTCTGGTAAAATTAGGAAAGATTCTGACTATTCAAAGCAGGTTTGGATCAGGGCGGAAAAAAATTAAGCTGCAAGCAAAAACATCTGTTCATTTCTTCCTGTTAATCCAGAATAAAATTTAAAATCCTCCTTTTCATGTATAAAGCTCTAAATAAGGGATCTTCACTCTGTATTGCCAGGTGTATGTAGAAGGGGAGGCAGGTCTTTCAGTTATCAGGCCCCTCTCCTGTATCGATTGATTGATTGATTGACTGACTGGCTTTAAGAATGGAACCAACTATGGGTTTAGGTCCATGAGCCAGATACTCTTTCTACTCCTACCTTCTCTATTGATAAATCTTATAGTTGGATTGACTCAGGTTATCCTGAGCTATCTCTATAGTTATGCTGCTACATGCTTAAACTGATGGAAGACATAAGGACCCCTTTTTCATCATTCTGCTTCATTCCATCTCTATTCTCCCATTCAGCAATCTGTTAGCTCAACCTGTAACTTTATGTTCGCTCTGCTTTTTTCTGTCAAAGTAGCTTCATTTCGTTGGTTCCAGTTCAGCTGTGACACCATCATAGAGGGAAATATCCGCTGTGCTGGTGACATAAACACCTTTGATTAATGAGGATAGAGTTTGGCTTTTTTTATTGTTTGGTCCTGTTTCTCTCCTAAGGCTCAACTTTTACTCTGACTAACTCTATGTGGTCCCTTCATCCGCCTAACATGTAACCTGGCTCTGAGCTCATTTGATTAACCGTTTGTTTCCAGAACAGATCATGCATGCTCTGTGTGAGGCGATTGCTGAAGAGTCAACGACAATATGCAACTAAATATATCTACTGTCACCACATGCTCACCTACCGGTACATGTAGGAGTAATATGTCCAGCAAGACAATGACTCAATGCAATCAGCTGGTTTTTAAACTGACTGCACTATCTGATTGATTTGTCTCTGTAAAATTCCATGAGATGTTGTGTTGTGATTCGGTGCTATATAAATTAACTGAATTGAATAAAACAATTCAGCCCAAACCTTCAGGTAGACATATATACATTTTTATTTTGTATACTAAATATTGTAAACTGTTTCTTTCAGAACCTTGAATTCTTTGATTTCTTTACCATTTATGATCAGCCACTTGCAACTGTTTTTAGGGAAGAGGTTTCCTGGAAAAGGAGGTGCAGAATTTTATATCCAATTGTGATAGATAACAAATCATAAGTTTTTGATAATCTAACAAAGTATTTGATGTCTTCCTTTTAATGGTTGGATGCTTTTGTACAATAAAACCTGAAACATAGCTCACATGAACTTTAAAAACAATCAAAAATTGCTCAAATTTAAATTGTATGTATCTTTCCTTTAGTCTAATATATACAAACACGATGATACATTATGATGGGTTTTAGGGATTTGTGACTTGAAACAAGCAACTGCAAAGTTTGTCCCAAGTCAAGGTAAATGTCCACAAAAGAGGCAAAGAGATAAGTGCTGATGTACAACAAAAACTTCAGACCTCTTATCCATGGTTTTACATATATAAGCAGAGTTCCTTTTTTAGAGAGCCTTCTATGGGCAGAGGAAACAATGTTTGAGCTGTCTGATCACAATGGCAAAAAGTATGTTTGAATGAGTCAGGGAAAGACTGGAATAACACTGAACCACAAGCATGAGGGTGGCAGCATCATATGAGGGTCAAATTGTACAAGGTGGGTAGAAGGATTGCCTTCATATGTTTTTAACTTTACATCATTAAGGTTCTAAAGAAGCCTAACTTTTAGCATATTGGAAATGTGGTAAAAAAAAATAAAAAAAACAAACCAAAAAGGGTAAGGGTCAGGAAAAAAATCTAATAATTTAAAAAGAGCAGTAAACCACATTCATGCCTCAAACTTGTAAAAAAGTTGCAAAAAGCAGGAGTTCCTCTGCATCTTGTTATAAGACAAAGCTGTTTGCATATATTTGAGCTTGTATGTATCATTTTTACTTCTTGTGTATTAGAGAAAATGTACAACAAATCTAAACTATATGGAAGTTGTACGTTTCATAATCGAACAGCGCACGTATGTAAACTTATGACTTAAACTACTTTAGGCAGTAGTAAACAATTTGTAGAGTCTAAAGTTGTTGTTGGTTATCAGTATTAAAAAGCATTATTAGCAAAAGACAGATTCCGTTATACTGGAAGCGAAAAAAAAAAAAATCATATTCGGTTATTTTGAAACATCTGTTAGTATTTCAAGCATAATTTTATAAAAGGATGACAGTTAATCATTTTTTGTTTTGTTTTTATCCAAATCATAAAAACCTGGAAAATCCTTTGAACTGCATGACAGGATCATAAAACTAAACAAATCAAGAAACCGGAAAACCACAAGTTTTGCCTTTACGGCTAAATAAAGTATCTTTTAAGAAGAAATTAGATTTTACAGCATGAATCGACTTGCCATGCAATGTTTCCTCATGTTATCCAAGAGTTTCTGTATTTTCTGCCATCTTACCTCCAATTGCACTGCATCTGGAGATGATCTCCCACAGAACCAGAGCCATTGAGTAAACATCTGCCTGCTTGAAAGACTCAATGTTTTCCAGATTGATTCTGGACTCCAACACCTCAGGAGCCATGTATCTGGCCGTGCCCACCTGGGAGAAATCAGACAAACGCAGAGATCTTTATGGCTGAAATTCCTCTCTTCTCTGACTTTTGTTGAAGAATGCTTATTAAGTAGTGCAGTTTTTAGCTGTAGTTGCTGTAAATATGTGACAAGTAGACCCTTTGTACCTTTGCATTCATCCCTACACATTTATTTCAATCAAAAAGATGACTGACATAAAGCATAATTAAAAAGCAAAATGTGTCCCTAAGCTCGTCAATGCGGCACTTCTGTTTAACATCATTACCATCTACATGTATTAAGAGCATTAAAGAGCATTAGCTGTGCTGGGATGCCTATGATGAGGCCTTAATAAAAAACAAAAACAAAATTAGCCGTTACGTCAGAAAACTCAGTCCTTTGAGATTAAATATGTACGGCTTTAAGAGAACAACTTGAAAATGCTCATTAGGAAATGACAAGTTGATTATCTTTCCTAAAACTTCCTCAATGCCAAACAACTTACACTGGTGTAAATGTCTACACAATGCTGCTTTTTTGTTTTAGTAATTCTGTTTGTTTTGTTAAGTTTTTCAAAATATTCAAGGTATTTCCTTTTGAGTGTATTTATAATAAGACCTGGGAAATTAAGTGAGCATCTTCTTATTTTCTTTGAAGACTATCAGGGTAAACAGGACTGAAAACACTTCTTTGGTTTTTATTTAACATTTTTTAAAGCTTAGCATTATTTTCCTTTAGCTTCACAATTATAGATTTTTTTGCACTGGTGCGTAACATTCAATCCCTACAAAATTGGAAATAAAGGTGTGCAAAGTGTTAAAAAAGTTCAAGATGTATGAGACCCTTTGCTGGATAATGTATTGTTTAGTAAAAGGGAAACCGTTCTAAGCCAGAAATGTGAAACAGAATCATAATCTAAGGATTAGAAGGTCTTACCTGTCCGCTGTTGGCCAGTTCATCTACAGACAAAGTGTTGTCCAGCCGGAGTGCGAGGCCAAAATCACATAGGCAGCAGGTCATGTCCTGTTTCACGAGTATATTGGAGCTTTTAATGTCCCTGTGAGCAACTGGAACCTTCCAGCGGCCGCAGGAAGTGCGTTCACTATGAAGGTGTGCCACAACGCTCGCCAGCGAGCTCCCGAGAAGCCACATATCATGCCAGGAGATAACGTGATTGGTTAGATACTCTTGAAGGTTTCCTAGTGGATGGTAAGCTGTGATTAACCAGTACTGCCTCTGCCCCTTCCTCTCCTCCGCTGTCAGGAAGTGAAGCACGTTCTCATGCTTCAGGTCGGCGTCTGAGAAAATGTCCTTCTCGTTCTTCCAGGAGGCATACTCCTCGTACTGGAAAATCTTAACCGCCACCGTCTCAAAGTGGTGCTCCTCGCTCACTGAGGAGCCCTGCCTCAGCTTGGCTTTGTAGACCTCTGCAAAGCGGCCCTTACCGACCAGAACGTCCAGCTCGATGGGCAGCAGCTCGGTGTTGTGATTCAGGTTATTGGCGAGTTGCGAGCTGCTGTCTGAACCCTCTTCAGCTATGATGGCCCGCTGGTCGCTGAAGTCCCTCGGCTGACCCTTCTTACGTGGGTTTTGCTGCTGACGGTAAACCCGGTAGGAGTAGAAGGAAGTGATGACAACAATGGCTATGATCAGAGGAGGCACCAGGCTGACAAGGAGGGCGGATCCAAGTGGAGATTGCACCAAAGGTTCTAATGAGATAAAATGATGACAATGATGTAAGAAAAGCATTGATAACCAGGACAAGAACACATTAGAGCTACAGATGAAGAATTTTCTGGCTAAGTATAACACTTTAAGTTGATATTATCAATATCTTATTTAACAACTTCAGTTTGAAACTACAGAATTTAATATACGTTTAGCAATAATTGATAAATGCATCTATACAGTCGGTTCAAATGTAGAAATTTAAATTTCAGGTTTATTTCGTGGTGTAAAACACTGAATAATTCGCTTCAATGCTTTTACCACTTTCAATGTAACACATTCTACATCCTTAACACGTCAACTATGAAACAAGAAATTATTTTGGGATGCTAAATGTAAAAAGTGGAAAAAAATAAATAACAATTAGAGTAAAACCATAGAGAATGCTGTAAAAAGAAGAGTTGTTTTTGTGCTGGATGTGCATAGAAACGTTGTTTTTTTTGGCCACTAAATTACGTTTCACTTAAAGTCACCCTTGAGACTAAAAGACCTTTCTAGTAAAAAGCCCAAATCTTTTTTTAATTTTTTTTATTGCCCTGAGAACCTTCACCTAAGGAACTACTCTGACATTCATTTTCCTTTATCTGAATATAATGGCCATGATACAGTAAGATTATACTGAAGTTTAAAACAATGTGCAAAGTCAGAGGGGAGATCCAGCCAATCACCAGCAGACTGGGAGGGAATGCAGCCGTGGGACCGTGGGTAAAATCAATCAGCTTATTGAATTTAGGATTATCTGCACCGCTGCTCTACACAGAAACAATCTGAACTTTACAGGAAGCAAAGTTGTGATTTATGGACGTATAAAGGGATACGGCATGTTTATGGATAGAATAAACTGAAAACAAAATGATTTGTCTGATTACTTCTAACAATGTCTGACATCGCTAAGACCACAGCTGGGTCAGTCTGAGGACATGTTGGAAGCGTGCACCGCCTCACGTAGACAGAAGCAGATTGGGAGCATGTAAAAGGAGGACAACTGAAACAAAGACTTTGAAGACTGAGGGCGAAAAAGTTGATAAAATCAGTGATATATCTGAGGTGTGTAAAGTATTGGAAAAACCTCACAAGTCTGTGCAAGAGCTCTTATCAGATGGGGAAAAGGAAAAGAACAGTTATGACTGGTATGAACCAAGAAAAGCAAAGCTGTTGTAATTCATGAAGGATTTTGAAAGTTGAGTAATTTCACAATAAAAAAAATTGGACAGATGGACAGTTTCCAAATAGATTACAATTCACTTCCACTGGAAAAAACAACTATCTAAGTCATCTTCAAAGTTAAAAAAGGCCAATGAAGAGGTGGCCATTACAATGGCACAGGCTGCTACATCAAAGAAAAACTTTACAAATAGAGGAAACAAAACTAAAGTTAACGGTATAACAAATAGAAGTAGAAGCAGACCTTATAGCATCAACAGCTGAGATTGAAAACTCTACAAAGCGATGAGTCAGACCAGGTGAAACATATATGAGGAGAAAAATAAGGCGATGAATTCTGGCTCATCGCATAGTAAAGATGGTCACTTCATTTGAGTAAAACAGACAAGGTCATGCTCAGTAAATAAAATACAGTACAAAGCATCTTATTAAGGATTTGGAAAGGATGAAGAGGAAAACAAACGTTTCCATCATGGAGGAGACTTTCAAAAGGTGCTTCAAAGAAAAGATGCATCTTCACATTCCCAACATCCACTGGGTTTAAGAATGCATCCAAAATTCTAGAAACTTTTACACAGAAGTTGTTGCTAAATACATGGTCAAGTCTCTTTTTTCTATGTATACATAACAAACATAAAGAAAGAGAAGCTAGACCCCTGCATACTTATTTTCAAACCATAATAATAGTTATGACTGAGAAGTTCAGGCAAATAGGTCTCTGTCTATACTGTAGTAATTCCATCATAGTAACCATTTCAGTTTTAATGTAAATCATATATAGCTGAAGAACAGAAAATCAAAGAGACTAAACTATTTATATTGAGTTTTAAGATGTTTGTGTTTTTGCCAATTTAGTCAGGTTTTACTCTGTTCGGATTAATCCTTAAAACCAATGTTGATCTGCATAGCTTTCTTATTGTTGTCCTAACTTTGCTTGTAGCGCCACTCCTGACTGTACTTTGCCATTTGTTTTCATCCTAATTTACACTGCATGGACACTCTGATCCGCTCTGCTGCTTAGCCTAGAGGTGCTCAGACACGCATGCATGGATCATGCACTAAAAGCCAATGATTAATGTAGAGGTCAGACCAAGACCCAGAACCACCATTAAACTGCTTTACTTCACTATTTTATTCTTTATTTTCCTTTTGACACAGTGTGATCTGTGTAGATTGACTCCAAACTCTGACGGCCCAAAATGTTGGTAGATGGTGGAGGCCCTGTGGAGGCGGTAAATGATTATTTTTATGACTGATTATAATTGGTGAGCCTTTACCTGACACAGTTTAAAATGTGAGTGAGGACCTTTTGTTAATTTGCTTTTTGGGCTACTAATTATTCATTGGATTCCTGCTGCATGGACCTTTTGGTTTTAATTAACATTTTTTTTACTAAAAATCATTATCTGCTAGTATTTAAATAATCATAACAGTAGATTGTTTACATCATTTCAATTAATGATAACTTCTAAATACTTCTTATAAAGTGTTAATATGATGCATAAGCTCTAAAACCTTTGATAAAATGGATATTTAACTAGTGAAAATTAAGTTTTTTCTTTGTAACATCATTTGTAACATGATCTAATGGGGCTCAATAATGCAGGTGTGACTTTTCATGAACTTACTGCTTTTCCCTTTATTTTGAAAACTATGTCCCTTTTAGAAGCTTTTGACACCAATATGTTTATCCCAGTTATGATACGTCTCATTAAATTTTTAGATGACCTATTTAGATTAGTTTGTGGCAGACTCATTTGTCCAGCTAAGAGGATAATATTCTTAGAGGAACTGCTCCTTGCTTGTGGAATGTCCATTTAAGTTACCGTCTGGACCGCAGATCTAAAAACAACTCGAGATCCTGACCCAGTCAACCACATATTGTACCTCTTTATAGAATTTGTTGTATTTTTGTAAGTTAGTAGAGGGTGTGTCTGGAACAGATTTTCCAAACGACACCAGCTCATGAATTTAGCTGCATTCATAGAAAACTTTGAAAGCTGCAGGTAACTTTTCTACTTTAATCAGGTTCACAATTACTTTAAATCTTCTTTACCAAGATATATTCATATCTTGATTCTATTTTTTACTGATTCAAACTGAAAGTGAAGAAACATGCATCAAAATCTTGATTTGTCAAAATAACTGACAGTAAATCCTTTCTGGAGGTGACTGTAAGACAAAAGCCAGAAGTCTGGTTGAACAAGGTAGGATGATGAATGTTAAAGTCATCTTGCTGACTGCCTAGACCAAGCCCTCCAGCTCTATAATTTTTTTTTCTTTTTTTTCTAAACAGGAAACCACATGTCTGAAATCCTCTGCAGGGCCCCAGACAGACAGTTTGTTTTGATTTTCTTAGAGTGAGACACTTTTCTCACAACAGTTGTCACTGTGCCTTCCAACGCAAAGATCTGTGCAAAACCTTATAACCTAAGTTATTTTTTGTACATGTTAAAGTAACAAAACAAAATGTGAAACATAAAAATTAAAGATTTCTAAATAAGAGAATTCCACCCTTAGAGAGTAGAGATCGAGTTTTGTGAATGCATCCCAAACTTACATGTGTTAAATGTATAAAACATAGGATGATTAAAAACACTTTAAGTTACTCAATCTGTAGAATGAAAAAGATGAAATGAACCTAAAACCTTAAACAGACTTTAATCTCTTCCATGTTCATGCAAACCTTGTCCAAAAAACGTGAAAACAATCTCCCTAAAACACATCTCAAGTTATCACTTGATCTATTTAGTGGAAATGTGAAAATAAAACAGCGTGAGTAAAGATGTAAGCAAGAGACCATTTGACAGCTGCACTCTCTCCAGTACTAGCTGCAGTGAATTCCAGTAATTACAACAGAAGATTGCTGTTTTATAGCTCTTCAAGGCACGACATTCTTTGAATACTCTGAGTGATTGCTAAAGAATTTTTAGTAATGGGGTCTCAAATGCCTAACATTTTAGAAACATCAATCTTGAAACATCAACCAACCATTGCTATATTATCAACAGTTATGCACCCAAAGAGTTTTGACACAGAGGGTCATTCCAAAGACTTTCGAAGCTATGGTTCATTTTAGTTGTTACTTTTCTAACTTTCTGTAGCAGCTAGATGCTCAATGTTGTTAAAGCGAGCTAAGGAGGAATAGAAAAACTGTTTCATCTGTTATTTCGGGTTTCAAGCCTGCAGAAAGGAGCGATAGCCTTACAGTATGCCTGCTCATTGTGCATCAGGGAACTCGACTGTAATTGCTATGTTTTTTTTATTGTTCTCAGCTTAGGTGGACAAGCCAGATAATGCTGGGGGGAAAAAAAAACAACAACCAAAAAACAATAGATGAACTAATAAAGCAGCCAACTAAAACCATTTAAGATATAGCATTAGTTATCACATCCACAGAGAAAATTGTCAAAATTAGAAATTTTAAGCTGCATTTTAAGCAAATCAAATAAAACTACGGGATGCTATTAGCTGGCAAAAATATAACCCAAAAAATGTTGTATTTTACTTTATGTTACCACCCTACAGCTGTGTTATGTTAATGTCGAAAACATTCAAAAGATCTATGTCTCTTTCCAAGTAAAACAGAAAGTTAGGTTAATGTGAAAGTAAACATGCTGTCATTTTCACCTTCACCTATGACTGGACGAAATGACAACAACTTTGTTTAGGATATATATTTTTTAATTTGGGTCGATATGATATAGAACTAATATTGATATAAACATCATAAAGGCCTCAGAAGAAAAAAATCCCATGAAAGAATTCTGAAGAACTCCTGAACATTAATGTGCCAAGTACATGAAACTCCTTCAATATAACATTTTTGAAGTTTTTTTGGGGAACTACAAGCTCAGATGAAATGCACCTTTTACCAGGAATTATCTCTTCCTCCTGATATTCCTCAGTCTGTCAGATGTTTAAGAAGACAAACGCAACTAAGCCTGAAAGACTATGTTCCAAAATCATTAGTAAATTAGCAAAGCAACTCATACGGTAACTAGCTCTGAAACTATAATCTAAAGGTCCCCGATTAATTCTCAAAAATCCTCCTGTTAAGATTTCTTCTCCACTCTAAGTTTTCCATCTGCTCTAGTGTTGATTTATGGTGCTTTGTTTTCTATTTTTTAAAATACAAGTTTGGTTTATTTTGTATTTGTCATCTTAGGTAATAAAAAAACAGTTCCAGCCTCATGTTATGTTTATTAAGCGTGGGCACATTTGAGCTAAATCTTTATCTAACCAGGGATCAGCTCAGTCTAAAGCAAATGAATCAATTCACACATTCCATAATGTCACAGGGCAGCACCTTATCGGTGGGGAGAAGCTTGTATTCGCCTGAATAATTTTAATGTTCTAACAGCTGTTGTTTTACGAGCAACATCATTTCTGCAGTCAGCAAGCAGCCATTTTTTTCTCATTTATCAGACGTTAAAGTCAAAGGATTTGCAGGGATGGTCACCTTATCATGGGTGCTCATTTTGTAGCTAAAACTTAGCAGCTGAGCAGCACAGCCTGCAGCCTCTCTGTGGTGAACGTTATCGCTCCAATGTGCTGCAGATCATACTGTTTGGCTTGAATCGCTTGGAACCTCAGTTAGTCACAAACACTGTACCCACAGACCGCAGCGTTACATCTACCGGTAAATACAGGAAATGTTTTTAAATGTCATGTCACCATTATTGAATAAATTATATTGCATTACCTATTGATGTTTAATTATTGTCCAGCCCTAGCTTCAGCTTCAAATACTGTACAGCAAAGGTGAGCAAACCACCAACATGGAATAATGTGAGATTAAATATCAGTTATATAGGTCTTTTTTTTGCGAAAGCTGTGAAAAATCCATTGTAGGCTGCTTTATCTCATGATCAAACTCTTTGTTCTAAAGTTTTTAGTGAGTGGATGCTGGCAAGTTATTCATCCTGTCTTCCTACCTTTGGTTTCAGAAAAACAAAAGGCAGATAGAAATCAAATGGAAAAACTAACTGTCAAAAAACAGTTTTCTATAGAATATTCTATAAAAAAAACAACAACAAAAAAACACCATTTGATATTGAGAAAAGATATTTCAAGCTGTAGTTAGCTGACTTCCAAACAGCTATGAGCTGAAAAGTTGGCATGAAGTGAAGGAATCATAGAGGAATACCGTATTTTCCAGAATACCGTGTTTTCTGGAGCACACCTCACTATAAGCTACACCAACTAAACTTTTTGAAAACATTTTTAAATGTGCAGATATAAGCTTGCACCAGTCTATAAGCTGATGATATCTTCTGAACTGTCTCCCACCAAACGTGTACGGGGAGCTCTACATATTGCCCCTGGAGTAGAGATGAAAAACAATGTTTTAACTCCGTTAACCCGGGCATACTGTACGATATATTTCAATCATTGCACGCAGCCACAGCTCAAACTGAACGATGAAACCACAGAGTTTAAAAGTTAACAGCTCACAATGTTTTGCATGTTCTTACACTGTACGGCCTGACGCCTGATAAGATCTAACTGCTCAACCATCCAAAAACCACATGCTGGACTCAGTGCCGAGAGATGGCGCTGGTCGGACTCGTCAATCTGGAAGAAGAACTCCATTGTTTGCACATGCACAGTGCGTGACGTTCTGATAAATCGTCTCTTAGCGCTGCTTCAACAGCCGGACTTGTTCACAAACAACTCACAAGGGCCAACTTGATTTCAAACATGTTTGATTTTCTCCCGACCTTACAATTCCTGCTCAGGAGGTGGTCGCGAGAGGCTGATGAGTTACTCCCTGTGTACTACACGATGCAGGACGCACGATGAGGCTGTAATTCTCGCACGACGTGAGTATCGGCCTGATAAGGGCAAAAAATTGTACAGTGTACACAGTATGCTCGGCTTTAGCTTGTTGGCTCGCAGCAGTAAGAGCTTTTAATGAAAGCTGTGGCTTCCTCAGCTCTTTATTTCTGCTCTGCAGGAGTTGAGTCCAGTCTCTTCATTGGGTGAGCAGTTTTAATGGGGCAAATAAATGAATTCAGGGCATTTGTTCTCCGTCATGCCTGCTGCTAGCAAGTTGTTACTCTAAATGAATATTAGCCCCTTATTCTTTCATTTCCAACTTTGACCTGCCCCTCTGGTGGTTAAGAAAAATCCACAGAAAAGCTGCAGCTTCTTATAAGCTGCATGGTACAAAGCGTGAGAAAAAAGTAGCGGCTTATATTCCTGGAAAATACGATAATGTTACTGTAACATTCTTTAGTATGGCTGTTTAAATTACTTTCAGATAACAATCTTCTGCTGTACAGAATTATTAGACCTAATCTATAACTTCCAAATTTATTTTCTTTAAACCATCCGACCTACTGTTACTGTCAGCTGCAAGGTCTGGAAAAAGATGTAAATGCAGACAAGGCCTAAAGAAAATATATAACTTTCAAGAAATCGAAAACAATCCAGAGTAGAAATAAGATTTAAATAAGATAAAGAAGTCTGAACATTTTCAGTGCTTCATTGCATCTTAAATATGGCGAAAAAAACAACAACATATTAATAAAAATATCATAAAATGCATGATAAAATAGATAGCCAGAAGTTATTGCTCAGTTATGGTAAAACAAAGGTTTAAAAAAAATACCCCGTCTTCCAGTGAAATCTGATGGGACTAACAAGGAAGGGCTGATTCATTGGATTTACTGGAATCATTTCATTTTTCTAATGTTTTTTTCATTGTCTAATTAATCCAAAATGTCTTCTCTGCAGTACCTCCCCTTTTATACTTTCTGAAAATTTACGGCGACAGCACAGACATTCTCCAGAATACACAAATGCATTTCCATGACGTGTTTTGTACTCCACAGATGCTTTTAATTTGGCTCTCTACTGTTCTTTGCCAGGTCTGTGAAATGTACCGCTGTGCTGTTACTGGAGAGATGCTGTAGTCAAAATACGAGGGATTACAGCATTGGTGAGAAGAAGGAAATATCTGTCCTGAGGCTGTTTGTAATCAGAGAAATGGATAGTATCGCAGCCCACACATGTAAATGTTTGGATATGATACTTTGCACGAGAGGCTGATAAGAACTGGAAACAAAGTTGACCCATTACGGTTATTGTTATTGAATAAACATAGATAGAGCATGAAATTTAACATACAAACAAAAGCTGATCTATTTTCATCAGTGCTTGGTAAATTCAGTCATATGAGTAACTTTCAAAAACATGTTACTTATAAAACAATAAATAATTTGCAAGGATAATGCAAACTGACAGATTATGCTAATTTGAAATTATAATGCAGTGGCGAAACTAGACTTTTATTGTTGGAGGGCCAGAGCTGGGCAAGGGTAGCCCAGGGGCCACAGAGTATCAGAATGAATTTGTTTCTTGTCATTTGCAATTTGAGCTTCTTCAAGTACATGGGGATAAAATGTGTCATAAATTAACATTTTTACAAATAAAAATCCCACATTGGCATATTTAAGACTTGTGAATGCGTTTTATGCGTTGAGGAGGAAGGATGCAGAGGGGTTTGATCAAAGAGAAGGATGCTAAGATGGGAGAAATGATCATCTTTAGAGAACACTAACAACAGCAATACCTCCCAAAACTGTATATTGTCATATGAAAAGTACCTTAAGAAAACAGATATTGTAAATTAAAATATATTAATAAAGTTTTTTGATGAATTTTATTATGTACTGCATTTTCTTTCATAAAGCTGCTTATTTAGTTATTTATTAACAGTTTAAGGCCAACGTGTCCTCTTTTTCCTTTAAGAAATTGACCAGTTTCTTTTCTGCTTACCAAACATTTTGTTTAGGTAATTTTTACTTCTACTGGAATAAAATAGTATAGAAGTTGCTGTACTTTTACTTGTGTGACTTATTTTTGTGGTCTTTCCACCTCTGCAGAGCAGCAGATACGTCTGAGGGAGACAATCAAATTTCCAGCTCTGCAATTCCTAGCATGCTAGATCTGATTGGTTTAGGTAAACATGTTCACGTATGATCTTTAGGTTTAATCTCACCGCTTTAATCAAATGAGTTTTAGCTACTTTGGTTAGCCACCTTTAGGTATCTAGATCTGGTAAAAACAACTTGCTGAACTTCAAAAGGAGCATCTGAGTCGGAAAGAGGAGGATCTGAGTAATTTTGAACGTGCAACGGTTGTTGATGCCATATAGGTTTAAGACTTTTAGACACTCCTGATTCACTGGGGTTTTTTGAACATAGGGAATGGTTGAAAAAAGGAGAACATATTAATTAAGGTTTGCTGGGTGGAAGAAAAAGAAGTGCTTGCATTGGACATTAAAATAGCAAGAAAGGGAGCAATGGCTCAAATATGTGGTAGTTGGTATCAGAATATGTATGATATATGATCTCTACAGGCTGAAGTCTTTGAACCTTAAGCCAGCAATCATTTTAGCTAGCCATTAAACTGAGGCCAAAATTTGCACATGCTGAAAAAATCCCTAAAAATTCCGCATTTGAAAATTGATCCCTGGTCTGGAACGGTTTTGGCTTTCAGCTTCAAAATTCAGATGGTTGTTTCTTAATACAATGAAGGCAAAGTGAAAGCATAGAAATCATCCTTTAAAAGTGTAAATTAAACTCAAAGAACCTCTCACCACAAACAGAACCCGTAACATGAAGACCCCCACCTGCGCCCAAAATAAAAACAAAAAAAACAATACAAGAATGAACTTACTTGAGTTAAAAATTATGTTCTCATTACACTCTTCATCGTTGCAGGAACAGATGAAGAACTTTGTGTCCATGTCCTTTTTCTCTTTCATAACACACTTGGTGTTGTTATAATCATCCAGAATCACACCATACAGTGGATTAACTGGATTGTGACACACAGTTTCTACTGTAGTATTGTCATCGTCTTTCCTCCTGGAAAAGGGAAAATCAGAGAAAAACAAAGCATTTATCCATCAGCCTTGATCTGAGAACTTTAAGAGATCTAATGCTTAGAACCTTTAAACAGGATACAAATTACATCTTTTTCCTGCAAGTAGCTACGTTTACATGAACATATTTAGTTGGAATAAACAGCCCATTGCAATAAAAATGTGTTTATATATGAAAAAAGTTTCCTCTAATCCATTCCATCATAGTGCAGAGAATACGGTATTCTGGGTGAAGCAAGTCTGAGTGTGCATCTGCATCCTGCATCAACCTGATGTATGTTCGCTTTAATAGCTCTGGTTAGCTGTTATCAGAATATCAGAAAGTTTACAAGACTTTCAAAGACTTTCATTTCCAGAACTAATTTTCCTTTTCCTTTTGAGAATGTTTTTCAATTTGATCATTATGAATTAGGGATGCACGATATAATCGGCCCCCTATCGGTATCGGCCTGTATCGGCCTTAAAACTGAATATCGAACATCGGCCACCCCACCGATATTTAACCCGATATTTGATCAGCTTCTGAGTTTCTAAAGTCAAAAAAAAAAAAAAATGTTACTTCTTCTTCTTCCTAAAAAACTTCTTTTTACAGACTTAAAAACTTCAAAAGACGAGGGAACAAATATTGATACATTAAAATATCACAATATCTTCATATGCTGATATATTGCCATTTAAAAACACCATATCAATCTCTTTTACTAATGAAATATTGCTATATGTCATCGTTATACTACGAAATCCCCCGAAAATTCACAAAATTTTGCCATATTTTTATATATTGACGCGGTATCGATCTATTTTACTAACAAAATCTCACAAGAATTTGCTAAATATCTCGAGAGTTTGTAACAGAACGATGAAATTTCACGAGATTTTGAAAGCAAAATAGATCGATACCGCATTTAAAAAAATCAATTTGTTATCAGCATATGTAAATATATTTGAGTATATTATTTTTCAAAGTGTCAGAAATGGATAATAAAACTGCTATTTTCATTGACTACTTATTTTTGTGCAGCTTTAACATCGGTATCGATATCGGTTATCGGCTACATGAGTTTCAAAATATCGGCATACTGGATATCGGCCAAAATCCCAATATCGTGCATCCCTATTATGAATATAAGTAGAGGAAACACATATAGTTGGAAAGGGATGTTAAGATGGGGAAAACGGATGGACAGACTGACCATCAAGTCAAGAAATGAAAAAGGTTCCTTTTGGCCCACTTGTTTTTGCAGAAAATGACCTCAGTATAATCATACAGCAGGATTTTGTACATGAATGGCCTCAAGCAATGAATCCCATTGCTTCTAAATTTGATAAATATTATTTCTTTAGGGTTTTCTGCTAAAGAGTAGAATTAATTGCTCCATATTTTTTGCCCTGGTGTCCCACTCTGGATGCATCTTTTTTTTCCTTCAATTTTTTAATTCAATTCAGTTTATTTATATAGCGCCAATTCATAACACATGTCATCTCAAGGCACTTTACATTTCACCAGATCATCCAGTCAAATTGATTAAAATTTTTCTATCTAGAGTTGATAGTATTATGCAAGAGTATGCTGCAAGGTGGGCAGGAAATGACTTCTAACCTGGTAAAGACTGAAGTACTATTATATATACTATTTCAGAATTACAGCCTTACCAGCATTTATGTCTTGTATATGCAATGTTGTTAAGAACATTAACATAATATACACCTTTTACTCACCTTAAACGGATATATACCAAAACAGAAAAGCACTGACAAAGTGCAGACCAGCAAATGTTAGCCCATATTGTGACTTACACCTACAGCTAAATCTCACTGGATCATTACCAAATTTTTAATGAACTGCTCCTTGGCATGAGCCGTACCTCAGGTAAAAAAAATCCTTAAAATGCATCATAACTTTTCAAATAATCCAGCTAACAAACCAACAACACTTCCTTTCTTGTGTTTTTGGATTTACTATAATATTTCTGTCCTTTTTGAGTCCGATGCCTGCCCAATATCCCTATCTTCCTTTAAAAAAAAAAAAAAATCCTGTATCCAGATTATAATCTGGATCATTAACAAAAAATTACTAGATTGTTCCTTAGCATGAGGTGTACCTCTAGTAGAAACTCACTCACAAAATCCAGTAATAACTTTTCAAGTAATCCTGCTAACAAAATAAAAAAAAACATGACAGAAAACAGAACCTCCTCGATGAAGTTAACAAACAAAATGAAAATGTACTGATTTCTTTTCATGATTACAAATTAGGTTAATTTCCTCCAATAACCCCACATTTTCTAGGATGTGGCAGAATTGGGTGAGGAAACTGGAATATCAAAGCCTACAAACCAATCAATGACCTCCCATTTGACTCAAAGCAAAGCAGGAAACAGATTGATACTGGTGTTAAAAATTGAAGGCCACTCTGCTGTTTGTTACTATATTGCAAATGCATGCAATAACATGAGCTGAAGTTAGCAGAAAGCTAATTGTACATGGACAACAGCGTCTCATTAAAATGTCCTTCAGAACCCACAATCCAGGACTACAGAGCAGGATTATGCATCGCCAATATGTAGATTTGCCCAGTTTACCATCTGTTTGCTGGACTCCTGCTCTGTCTGGAAAAGTATGGCATTTAATCTGCTTTGAAAAGTATTTGCTCCCTTTCTTAATTATAATAGGAATTAAGGTGAAAAAAGCACTTACCAAATAGTGACACAGACTTCATTATCGTGTTCGCAGATGGCTGTTTTTTCACAATCCACCTGGCAGACTCCCTTACCAGGGCAGCTACTTGCCCTCACATCACAAAACTTGCATAGTTGTTTTATCTTCAATATCGATCCCACTGGAATAAGAAGGAAAGTTGCTTCTATTTTATAATGACCACAGTAAACAAACAACATATATGAGTTTATGAGGAAAAAAGCGAGGTTAAAAAAAAATCAAGGGCGAAAGAAGAAAATCTAAGGTATTTCATAGCAGAGAGTCGTGTTTAGACTTGACTTTGCCAGCAGGCACGCTCAGATCAGTCAGACAGACTGGATTGTGTGATGAGGGCCTGCGGGCTTGATAATCACCTAAGACCTGAGACAACTGCCAGACGGGCAAGTACAACAAACACAGGAAAAGCAAACGCATCTGCTGACTGAGAAGCCTTTAATTTGTCATTCCGATGACTCGGCCCCCCATTTAACATATGTTAAGCCAACAGCGATTATAAAAAAAAACAAAAAAACACAACATAGAAGGATTTGATTATAAATGATTTGAGGAAGGAAGAAAACATTCATTTATACAGTGATAACATCCTGATGCCAGAGCATTTTTTCTTTATAATGGCCTGGTCTAGTTGCACAGAATCATCCTTAAAAACCATCATTAATGAATAAATACTGGCACCCCTGGTAAAGATGTTTATTAAAACTAAAAATAACTTATTATTTCACAACATTGGCATAATCTTACTGAAAATCAAGTTGCATACTTTTATTTTCTGGTTAGATAAAATTTAAGTAAGAAAATGTGTTTTTAATTTTGATTAAGCATGCAACTTTAAAAAACAGGTATATACCTATACTGTCAGATAAAGCCATGTTCAGAAAACTGTGTGCTTTGATCAGTATATACTGTGTTTTGCTGCAGTCTTGTATATTAGACTGCATGTGATTTGGTGCATGTGAAACACATTCATAATCCTTTGAATATCTTTTAAAATTACAACCATATATATTTCAATGTATTTCATTGGGGTATTAAGTAATCGGCCAGCACAAATAAAGGCAGTTTCTTAAGTGGTAGGAAAATAATACATTGCTTTTCATCTTAGTTTTGAAACCCAGACGCCTTATAAGTCAGAGCAAACATGTGGAAAAAGTGGTGTTAAGGTCACAAGACAACAACATGTAAAGCTACGGTGTTAGATTTTCAGTTTATCTGATGGTCAGACTAGCCCCAGTCACATTAGAGCATAATGGGGATCTCTAAAGTCACCAGTTTGTCAGCTCTGTGGTAACGTAACGCAAAGATGTGTGAGTGTAATTAAGATTAGCTAATTCTAAGGCAACACAAATGTATAGATTGAGACTTTCAGTTCGTAGATAATAATAAATAACCTACTTATGTATAAAATATTTGATTTAGTCCCTGTAACTTTACTGGAGCTTTAAATGTTGTACTCTTTTATGCTTTGTCAATCCATGTGTAATTTTGGTTTCACCTCAGAACAGGACTGGGCCAAAAAGCAGCAAACAATAAGGGTCGCAGTGAAGATCAACAGGGATGACCTTGCTCCATCCAAGACTCGCAGATTCAGGAAACGGCCTGGATATTTCTCTGCAGACCCTACATATCCTGAACATCAACAGTTTGGACTTTTACATTCAGGTCGCAACTACAGAACACTATTTACAAAATACAGTCTCCAGAGATGGTTCACCAGATTGTCTCTGATGAGGGAAAATCCCACAGCCTAAATAATCTGCTGCCCCACTGGGAAATGGAATAAGTTAATTAGCACTATTACAACCCAAACAAACACAACAAAACATTTTTGGATGTGCAAAGACTAGGAATGAGCATTTATCATATTGTTTACGTGATATATTTGTAGTCATGATAGCAATCATGATTTATCGTCTAAACGATCATTTTAAATTAGTGATGATAAAACGCAGAAAAAGGATGAATTACAAATTTTACTTTTAAGATTTTTCTTTAATTGCTTTTTCTTGAAGGAAACTTTATTCCAATCTGACTGTTGCTGTAAAATGCTTAGAGATGACATGCTGTGAGTTGAAATAAACTTGCAGGTCAACTTGCAGAAGTGCTACAATGTAGTGACTTGGGAGGGAAGATAACAAATATTGCAAAACTTAGAGTTACTCTCTTTGAAATATTTAGAATCATTACATCCGTTTCGTTCAAATTGTTACAACTTTATAAAATCCAAAATAGAAAAAACAGAAGTCCATGTTATGACACGATAAAAATAGTCTAAAGAGTGACAAACATTTTTCAAAAAATGCTGCTATCTTGATTAAAAAGAATCAAGAGACAAATTGAGCGATGTGGGAAAAGCTTCTACTTCCTGATGTCTGTGCTGTGAAGCAAGACAATATTAAAAGTTAAAGAGAATAAGGCCTCAGGCATGTGATTGCACCCTGTGCTAAAGCAAAGCCACACAACCACACTTCAGCTGTATGCTGAGTGCACAAGACTTGAACCTGCTCAGCGAATGCAGTGCACAGCCATACTGAAAGTACGTAGGTTTCTTTCCTTTCAAGTTCATAAAAGCATTGTGGGAAGGATGAGAACTATGGGTAGCTGATCATGTGTTCAAGAAGTGCTAAGTTCTTCTAGACGAGGAAGTGTAAGTGAAAGCACGCTGCTTGCCAGCAAAACTCCTTCACACCGATTTCATAATGTTCTCCCAAACTCTGGTACAAAAATCCTTCTGTGTCAGCTCGGCCGTGCTGGAGGGTGGGCTGAGAGTAAAAGAGCAGAGCCAATGAAAAAAACATGAGGGGAAGAGCAGAAGAGTTTACAGTGAAATGGATTTCTGACATCTTGTTTCTGGAGATCCAAAAAGAAACGTGTCTCAGGAGATGGCAGGCAGACATTGTTTTTGGAGCTGGCCTCAGAGGAATAAACTCTCAAAGTCATAATGCATCACTTGAACTCCAGACTAAATGAAATAACTTAGCAATTTAAAGTTTTGCCCGGGGGCTCCAGAGGTGTTTTTTTTAAGTGGATCAGGAATGAAGAGGGAGGATGGGGGGGTTATAGTCAATGCCTGAGTGGTAGGAAGGTGGCTGAGCTGGAGTAATTATATCATTAGAGGAGCTCCTCTCAAAGAGCATGTCATTTTAACCCAGGAGGCGAGCTATGGAAGGGATGAATGGTGGTAATTGTCACCCAGGGCTGCATATAATTGCAGAGTAGTGGGGGGAAAGGGGATTAGTAGCAGCCAGAGCTACTTGGTGCCTCTGGGACTGAGTCTGAGACAGATGAAGGTAAAATTTCCTGGCAGCAGAGTGATTTGGTCAAATGATGAGAGAGATAGGAAGATAAGGAGGAGTATAAAGCTTTTGACAAAACATTTCAAACATGCTGAAGCCTACACTGCAAAAACAATCCAGAAATAAGTAAAAAATTGCTTAAATTAAGTATATTTAGCCTTAATTTGAGCAGGTAAATAAGATGATTTGCCAATGGAATGAGTATTTTCACTCTTAAAATAAGATAGTTAGATAATATTTACTTGAAATAAGACGATAAAATAGTTTTTTCTTATTTTAAAAGGAAATTGTCTTGTTCCATTGGCAAAGTGTCTGTTTTACCTCCTCAAATCAAGGAAAAACACACTTATTTTAAGAAAAAATAACTTATTGAGGTTTATATTTTTTGCAGTGTAACTGCAGAAATACACCTGGTTAGTTAGCGAGAATTTAGGTACAGTATGTTAGGATAGTAATCTGGGACATGACCAGTTAAGAGGACTTCACCCTGCAGCAAGTATTGGTTTGAAACAAACCATTAAAGAGGCATGATGCAATGGATGTCCTATAATATAGCAGCATGTTGTCAGCATCAACTATAAAGCTGACCTCCAACTAGTTTATACATCGTTATTGACATTAAACCTATTAATGTTGGGGAACCAGCGGTGTAGGATGTATTACACAATTTTAAACGCTTAAGTAAATTAAAACATGTGTTTTACGGAGAAGTGATGCAAAAATGCTTAAAGGAACTAAAGGCCGGATGAGGAAATGAGACTCACGAGTGACACGATTGGCGCTGTGGGTAACTGCAGCCACCAGCCAAGCCGGCACAAAGTGGAAAAACTGTTGTCCCAGCACTGCACTGGTGATGCTATAATGCTATTTACTACAAGACCAATGCGCATATTTTAAGACAGCAACAAGCACCAGGCTGCAAGTCTTCCACTAGTAGTGAAAAAACTGCGCTTTCCATTATCAGGGGTTTCATTATCCATTATCAACTGATGTCACATCCGTAGGACAGAGCAGGAAATTCGGCCTCCCTATTCCATCGTATTACGCTGCACACAGCCTATTAAAGGCAATTGAGAGATACGTGGGTGGGCTCTTTGGTTTGGGTTTTAAAGACCTCATCACCGATTAGCATTAAATAACTGGACATGTGTATCATTTAACTATTCCTGCACCTAGTTCATTTAATTCAGTGTAGTTTGTTCTTGTCCCACATTAGAAAACAAGTTGTGGTAATTTACGACATTTACAGAATAACATTTTTTTTTCTTTTTTTTCTTTTTATATAGTTTTTACGGCAATAGTGGCCCGTTTTATGGACAGTAGGCTGACAGGAAAGGGGGTATGAGAGAAGGGAGAGACATGCGGTATGAATGGTGGCCGGATTTGAACCCGGGTCACCTGCGACAAGGACAAAGGCCTTCCTACAGGGGTCTTGTGCGCTAACCACTGCACCACCAAAGCACACCCAGAGAAAATTTTGCAAGAGATTTATGCACAAACACACCTGATTTGAAGCCAGAATTGAAGAAATATTGCATAAAACTTTAAAATTGATGTTAAAGATTTGCTAATAGTCTTTTTGCAGAAGGAAGAACCTGAAATATCACATTATATGTTTCCTTAAATAATAATAAAACCAACTTCAAAGGATTGAAAAGCTTCTGGAATTTTTTATACATAATAATATACTATAATATACTAATAATAATAACTAATAATAACTAAAAATATTAGCTCTTTTTCTATATAGAAAAACTTAAATAAGCATACTAATCTTTAAGTAGACTCAGAATATATAGGATTAGTCTGACTAAAAATATATTTAGTATATGAAATAAGTATATCAACTCAAAAATGGTGCAGATAAAGTAAAGAAAATCATCATGAATAATAAATATCATCTTTTCAGTGGCTACTTTGCCTTTTAAGGCCACATGATTTCAAAATCAATTCATGCCCGAAAAAACACAACTTTAATAAAACAAGAGTATCTCCATAACAATCTTGTCTAAATGTGACGTTATAGTACAAGTGTAAAGGTAAGAGATAAGATATTTTTCCTGCTGAAAAAAACAAAACACATTTTTTGTGCCTCTGTTAAAGATTATTTTTTAAATGATCAGAAAAAAACACCATACAAATCTAGGAGACACTTCAGATTGTATTTCTCAACATCTTTACTTTAACTGTAGCCAATTAGGACTTAATCAGTTGAAATATGTTTGATCCACAATGGATTTAGAGGCAGCATTGTTCCAGGTTGACATGTCCTTTAGGCACAATTTAGCCAAATGGGCCAAAACTGAAGAACAGCTTCCATACCATTGGTTCTAGGATAGTTTTTTTTAGGGTCTACAAAATCCTTCCTTTGTGCTTCTACTTTGCTGATATAATTGCCAGATCATAACACTTTAAGTTTTTTGTGTTTTTTTTTTCAAAGTCAGGTGAGCATTTTACATAAAATTTAGCCATTCACACATAGAAGATGGCAACCTATATTTTAGCCATAACTGCCCAGGGGCACACTGCAGAAGCAGCTCATGCAGGTGAATTATCTTCCCAAAGGACACGACTGAGACGCAATCCTGCATCCAAAACTTACTGAAATGGTATTCCTTCAAATTGTATTTGTAATATGTTAATGTATCTAAATGAAACATCCTAATTAAAAACATGATGAGAGTTCATTCAAATGTTAGAGAACAAGTGAAAAGAGGACAGAATAAAGGGTATAAGAGCGATCTCTGGCATGGGGGATCCCTGAACCTGCAATACAAATATTATTTCTAAAAATAATAAAAAGAAAGGAGGAATGGAATAGCATAAGGAACATAACACTATCAGTTTGAACAACTACAACATCCATTCATCCATCCATTTTCTTACACGCTTAATCCCAAGTGGGGTCATGAGGGGTGCTGGTGCCTATCTCCAGCTGTCTACGGGCGAGAGGCGGGGTACACCCTGGACAGGTCGCCAGTCCATCGCAGGGCAAACAACTACAACAGTGACTGCAAAATTTCACTGAGTGCAGCCCACAAAGAAACAGTGGAAGACACTCATATTCCCAAACACGGATTCATTATAAGTAATTTGAAGAGCTGAGACGTCTCCTGAAAGTGTTAGAAAGGCAGAGGCGTAGCCAGAAAATGTACAGTTAGTCTTTATTTTCCAAATAAAAACTAACTATACTTTCCTCCAACCTTTGCTAACAAATAGACACATATTTAAACATCCTTGCTTCCTAGTTATAAGTTATAGTGGATAAAGTTCTTTGAGGTTTGAGTTCTGGGGCGAACATCTTTGCCATTGTCATTACTAACCTACTTTTATCAATAATCATTCTGCATAAAATTAATATTTACAAGTACTAATATCTACAAAAATCTTTTATCTACTAAGTTTCTATTAAAATAGTTATTCATCTGTGATTCACTGAAGACTCCTACATGACTTGCATTTTCTCTTTACCCAATATAACAAAATCTAGTTCTGAAAAGAAAATGAATTCTGTACTTATCATCTTTAATGTTAGTATATTGATGTGCATAATTAACCACAGTGTTTTTGTTGTCAAGTAATTAATAACGTATGAAAAATAAAAATGTTTTGAATACTGATAGTATTACTGCTGCCACTGTATGTATTATAGGTATATAATGTTTTATGCAGAGCTAGATGGCCCCGCACCTGTAGAAATGGTGGCAGGATGGTGACCACTGATAGAGAATTTCACAGAGCAGTTTAAGGCTATTGTTAAATATATAATTATATAAAATATATAAAATAATTATTGTAGAGTTTTAAGTTTTTCTCTGAGGAAATGCAAAATATAACGCTGAAGTAAAGCTGGGTATTTTTGCCCATATTATTAAAACTAACTAACCTAACTAGAAGCCCCGCCCCCTGCCAATCAGGAGCGTGCGCTTTCAGCTGCGCACTGCCAGGCTGCACTATATTTACAAAACATGTCGCTTCAAGTTATACAGTGTTATATACGACAAACTGAGTCACACTTTCTTAAAATATACAGTAAAAAAACTATGAGGGATTTAGACAGAAACAACTTTGATTAATTAAAAGAACATACAAAAAACACCCCTCCCCCTGTTTACTTAAGCTTTTCTGTTTCATTTAAACCGGCGCAATTAAGGTCTGAACTAAACACACCGAGCTATACCTGTAATGTCGCAATTTGTTTGAAAAAAATCAGGAAGTTCTTTGTTAAAACTTTCAAGTGTCATTAAGTTGAACTCACGCGTCTCCACCGGCAGCAGCGAAGCACCGAGGAGGATCGCTCCACAGCAGAAAACGGGAAACCGAAGCAGCTTCATGTAGAACCGGACCACGCGCCCCCTTATCACTCATTAATTGGACTGAGACAGGGGAGCCAAAGACCCGAGTTTCTCTTGGTTCCAAGCGCCCGATGCTCCTTCACAGCTCCGTGTGAGAGAAGAGTAAACACCAGGCAAGACTTGCCCTATATGACTCACTATGTGCGCCTTTCCTGAGACAGGAAATCTTCAGAGGGGCTGGACCGTTTCTCTCTCTCTCTCTCTCTTTGACTTCAGCCATGCGCTTATGTGACACACAGAGTTTAGAAGCATGTCATTAAGAAGTTTAGAGCCAGTAGAGCCAAGGCTTGAAATTACATGCTGCAAAACTGCTCGATTAGAGGCTTCAAGTTTAGGCTACATGTATATGCAAACTGATATACTTATGATAAATCATATTTTAATTTGAAGGTATCAGGTCTGTACATGTTCATGATAAAATGATAATCTTCTTTAACAGAGGCGTAGCCAGAAATTTTTATAAGGGCAGCCAGGCAATAACTAATGTACACTGAGGGGTGGCCGAAAGTGGAATAGGCAACAGAACCTCAGGGTCAATCTACAGTGTTCCAACAGGAAAATTAACAAGTATAATAATGTCCATAACTATACTTTCCCACAGCATTTGCTAACAAATAGACACACACACTCACCGGCCACTTTATTAGGTACCCCATCCTAGTAACGGGTTGGACTCCCTTTTGCCTTCAGAACTGCCTCAATTCTCCGTGACATAGATTCAACAAGGTGCTGAAAGCATTCCTCAGGGAGTTTGGTCCATATCAGAAGTTGGGTACATTGTAGTCATAAAGGGATGGACATGGTCAGCAACAATACTCAGGTAGGCTGTGGCGTTGCAACGATGCTCAATTGGTACCAAGGGGTCCAAAGAGTGCCAAGAAAATATTCCCCACACCATGACACCACCACACCAGCCTGAATTGTTGATACAAGGCAGGATGGATCCATACTTTCATGTTGTAGATGCCAAATTCTGACCCTACCATCCGAATGTTGCAGCAGAAATCGAGACTCATCAGACCAGGCAACGTTTTTCCAATCTTCTATTGTCCAATTTCGATGAGCTTGTGCAAATTGTAGCCTCAGTTTCCTGTTCTTAGCTGAAAGGAGTGGCACCCGGTGTGGTCTTCTGCTGCTGTAGCCCATCTGCCTCAAAGGTCGACGTACTGTGCGTTCAGAGATGCTCTTCTGCCCACCTTGGTTGTAACGGGTGGTTATTTGAGTCACTTTTGCCCTTCTATCAGCTCGAACCAGTCTGGCCATTCTCCTCTGACCTCTGGCATCAACAAGGCATTTCACAGAACTGCCGCTCACTGGATGTTTTTTCTTTTTCGGACCATTCTCTGGAAACCCTAGAGATGGTTGTGCGTGAAAATCCCAGTAGATCAGCAGTTTCTGAAATACTCAGACCAGCCCTTCTGGCACCAACAATCATGCCACGTTCAAAGTCACTCAAATCACCTTTCTTCCCCATACTGATGCTCGGTTTGAACTGCAGGAGATTGTCTTGACCATGTCTACATGCCTAAATGCACTGAGTTGCCGCCATGTGATTGGCTGCTTAGAAATTAAGTTTTAACGAGCAGTTGGACAGGTGTACCTAATAAAGTGGCCGGTGATTGTATATTCAAACAAGGGTGCTTTCTAGATAAAAGGTATAGTGGATATAATTCTTTTAGGTTTGAGTTTTGGGGCAAACGTCTTTTCCATTGTCATTACTTACCCACTTCAATCAATGATCATTCTGTATAAAATTGATATTTACAAGCACTAATATCTACGTAAGACTCCTAGATGACTTGCAGACACACATCATTTTCACTTTACTCAATATAAAACAAAATCTAGTTCTGAAAAGAGCATGAATTCCATACTTCTCATCTTTATTGTTAGCGTATTGATGTGCATAATTAACCATAGTGTTTTTGTTGTCACATAGTTGTTAATATATGAAAAATTTAAATGTCTTGAATATTCCACTTGAGATTATTACAGCTGTCACCATCTGTAATAGAGAGGAAAAAATGGTAGGGGTGGCCAATGATTGCCTAAGGGTGGCCATGGCCACCCCTGGCCCCCATCGAACTCCGCACCTGTTCTTTAACCCATAGGGTTGACCCAAAGGTTAGATGAGGCCCTGCGTTAATTTACTGTGATGTCCAATTCCTGTTAAAGCAATACTTAAAAAGTTTTTAATCTAGTTTTTTCTCATGAGATTCTGTAAGATAGCAATATTTGGAGACGTAAAGACATCACTAGATAAGACTATTTGATAGCCCCCCTACATGGTACACAGAAATGAGGAAAGATCCTGATATTTTCCGGGGCGAATATCACAAGCAAATGTTTCAAAAAACACAAATGGTGCTTTGAAGAATAAAATTTCCGTGGAATTAAGGCAGATCAAGTTTGGCTGCACAAAATAAATCAAATTTTCAAACAAATGTGCAAAAATTCAGCTCAAATTCCCCAAAATAAAGCAATGAAATTGCCCTTAGATTTAATCTATAGAACATCCTAAATCAAGTCCCTCCATCACCACATACATATGAACACAAATTTTACGCAAATAATGTTTTAAAGTTGTTATTTATCAGAAATAATAAGAACAGAAAAATATGATGGCCATGTTGTAATATAGATACATAGATTTAGTGTGTTGAGCAATATCATTTACAGCTAGATAAACACAAGTTGGACTTATTCAGAAGAATAAGTCCAACTTGTACTTGAGCAATGACTCATATATGGCATCATCTGCAATTGAAATATGTATCACGCTAAGCCTTAGAAACATAATACTTTCTGCAGCTGTCAATGAAACATTTCTTCCCTTGTTATGCCCATAGTAAACAGTCATAAATAGGCATATTGATATTAGTAGCCATAACCGTACAATATAAAGAACTGTCAGTGAATACAAAGCAAAATCCTAAGTCATCCAGTCTCTGCATTTTTCCCGGAAAATCTTTACTCCATTTGTTTCACTTTACAACTCTTGTTATTTTCATCCAGATGTCATAACTGAGTCGAATAATTTTTCGGTGTTTATAAAGAAACCCCGAATAAGCCAATGCTGTTGCGTTGTTTTGTACTTGCAGCCCTACCTTAGGGGGGTTCTTGCTACGTTTCTCAATACAATGTCTGGGCAGAACTTTTTTCTTGCAGTGGTCATGGTCTTGGTTCTGTTAAGTTTTCTTTGAGTTTTCAGTTTCACATTCATTCATGTTATTCTTTGTTTTCTAGTTGTATTGGTTTAATTCCTATTTTGTTGTGTTTTTGGATGTATTTGAGTACTTAGGCTTTTTTTTGTTGCCCTCTTGTGTTGGTCTCCGTATCCCAAGCTCCTTTCTAGAAGCCTCTGTCCACACCTGCTCCCAATCAGCTCGTTAGTCCTGCCTTTGTTCTGTCAGCCGTAAATACTCTCCCTGTGCAGTTCCTCAGTGCTGGTTCCTCGCCTTTCTTCGTCTTTCCTTGGCTCCTCGTGATTGTTTTCCCTGATGTCTCCATGGTTCTGGTTTGCTTAATATTTTAAAGTTGGATTTTTTTATTCCTGCCTCTGCTACCCGTGAACATTCAATTTAAAACTACAAGAACTCACCTCTGACTCCCTGCCTCTGCATTTTGGGTCCTCAAACCTCAACCAAACCCTGACAGCAGCGTGTCCAAGAGCCGGTGGGGTAATTGATCAGGATTTAGATGCATGTTATTAAGAAGGAAATGTAGAGATGGTTTTCCCTTTTTGTTCTTGGGGTTGAAAATTCTCCCATTATTTCAGATGCCGAAATCCGTCATCTGTCATGCAATGGATCTTTTGAGGATTAAATGGCAGAAACAATGAGAAAATATGGACTTTTGGATGATACAGTTGGTATTTTAGTGATGCAAAGCATTTTTCTTTACACCTTTCTGTTATTAGTCGGAAAATTTCCCCTTCTGTCATTATGTTGCTATTGTGCTTTCCCTTGCGGGTTTCACATTAGCTACTCTACAGTGGATGGCAATTTCTATGAGTTTGGCAGGTGGGCTTTTCGCAACTTGGAGGCACCTTGGGTAACTGCAGCCACCTCGAGAACAAGTACATATTTTTCGTTTCTTGCAAAGTATGTAATAAGATTAAAACAGGCTTTCTTTTTCATGCTTTTATTTTTGAACAGCTCAGGACTGAAGCAACACCACCTCCAAAAAAGCCTGAGCAACTTCATTATTTAGTTTGTATAAAAATCTCTGTGTGAAAGCAAACCAGGCCAACCAAAACGTTTCCCATTTAATGATTCCTATACAGATCGGTGGACTCGACCAGCAGTGAGAATGCACCCTTAAATAAGCATATATTTATAAAAAGTTTAAGTAAAGAATGTATCAGATGTATCATAAGTATGTGTAATAATTTCTTAATGTTTCAGAATCCATCATGAAGGTACTATATACAAAGAAAAAGTAGGGGTGCAATGGCTTAGTTACTCAGGAATTGATATGCATGTTAAAGAGTATGAGATAAAAGCAGAAAGGCAATGGATCCTGCAGACTCGGAGTAGGCGTACCTACTTTTAGCCATAATTTCACCTGTCTTGAGCCAGATCTGTCCTTAAGTGTCTACTCCACATTAAAAATACAATCTTGTGCTTGCATTATCCAATGGAGTTTTTTTCCAGCCTCCCCCATGGCTGGCATAAGAAGCTGAGTCTGTCCACGTCTCATCTGTTTTTGCGGTTTTAATTGAGAACACAGAGGGCTTTAGTCCACAGGAACAATAAGAAATTACTCATCTACTATAGCCCAGTCATGTTGTTGCTCTGCATACTTGAGCAGTGATGTCAGGTTTCAGCAATGACCCCCTGACCCCCAAAGCTCATAATTTGTAAGAGGAAACTTTACTCTCCTTTTTTAATGTACATGTAGTAAAATAGCTAGATGTTGCTTTAAATGAATAAGAAAATTAAAGTTGCTGTTGTCATGATTTCCTTAATTAAATAACAGTGCATTTAAAATACTCTAAAACTCTCTAATGTGAACCTTTAGAAGACGTTTGAATGGCCTCGATCATTTTTTGTTTCTTCACTCTTGGCTCTCAGTCAGAGGTTGTGGACAGTCATGTTTATGTCTGGCTGTCTGTTTTAAGCAAATGCAGCCATTAGGTACTGCAAGGTGGGCTTCA